TGCCCACAGGGGGGGGATTTAAAATGACAACTTTTTTACAAAAAATTAATTTTTTCAACTTAATTTTTGAAAGTGTTCCGGAAGGTCTGACACTTTTATATATATCTTAAATTAAAGCTAATGTAATATATTGTATCATGAAAATAAAAAAAATTCGGACTTTATTTTATCTTCAGGGTGAAAATAGCTACCGAATGCTATTTTTGTGTGAAAATTTCGATTTTGTATTTTACATTTTTAACTTTATTATGCTATAACTTTTTGAAAAATGTATGGATCATTACAATTTTTTTATGAAAAGTAGTATTTATATAGATATTTCATTCGACATACTTTTTTTTTAAATCGGACCATTTCCCTTAATACAGGAGGGATTCAAAACATAAAAATGCATATAGAAAGTAGAACTTTTTCAACTTAACTATAGAAAGTGTTCCGGAAAGTCTGACACTTTTATATATATCTTAAAATAAAGCTAATAAAATATACTTTATAATGGTAAAAAAAAATTTCGGACTTAATTTATCTTCATGGTGAAAACAGACATTAAACTTAATAAAAAAAATACGATTTTTGTAAAAAAATTCTTTTTTATATTTTTAACTTTATAATGCTATAACTTTTTGAAAGATGTATGGATCAATATAATTCTTTTTTTTGTAGATGCNGAAGATGTATGGATTAATATAATTCTTTTTTTTGTAGATGCATGATGTCTTTACCTATCATTTGGTATATTTTTTTTATAAATCTGACTTTTTACCTGCCTACAGGGGGGGATTCAAAATGACAACTTTTTCACAAAAAATTGACTTTTTCTACTTAAATTTTGAAAGTGTTCCGGAAAGTCTGACACTTTTATATATATATTAAATTAAAGCTAATGTAATCTACNTTCAACTTTTTCACAAAAAATTTACTTTTTCTACTTAAATTTTGAAAGTGTTCCGGAAAGTCTGACACTTTTATATATATATTAAATTAAAGCTAATGTAATCTACTTTATTATGTAAAAAAAAAAATGTCGGACTTTATTTTGTCTTCACGGTGAAAATGGCTACCAAATACTATTATTGTGTGAAAATTCTCAATTTTATTTTTTACATTTTTAACTTTATAATGCTATAACTTATTGAAAAGTGTATTGATCAATATCATTATACTTGATCTATGTATGCCACGTCACCACTGTGCCGCGACCCCCCTGTGCTGGGTTTTTGTATTATTGAAAGAGAAAAACGTTATTCAAGTTTTATGTCAAAATACATATTCCATATTATTTTCTAAAGGTATACAGTTGTTTTCATTTTCATTTTATTTTCTTTTACATTGGCTGGTATATTATTACAATAAAACTGCGGGTATTGTATTACTACTATAAATTCATTTTATTCATATGGAGCATAAATAAATGTAAGTAGTATGGATTATCATATTTATTAATTATTTAATTCAGCAATAATAAAAAATTGGTTGTTGTTATTTGAATTATTTAGTTATATTTATTGAGTTAAACAATCCTATTTTGGATAAACAAAAAATATTTTTCATTTAACAAATTTTAAATTGATTAAGAAATTTTTGTTGATTAAAAATTGCCCCTATTTTAAACCGTACGGCCAAGTTCTGTTCCCCATTTATATTTGGGATTTTTTAGAACAGCCCAGGCGGCAAAACTATTAAAACCAGTTCTTTCAGCGATTTTAAAATACACAAAATCTGCGACACTATTCAAGATTCTTACTTTCTGGGACTTAGTTTTTTTTTTTTAATTTATTTGGATTTAGAATATTTTTTCTTTAAAACTAAATGACACTTAGGGATTTTCAAGTGAATTTTGTTTTGGTGAATCTTTTAATTTAATTTAATTTGTTCATTAGATAATAATGTTTTATTTTATCATGGAAATAAATGTCAATTAATATTTTAAAACAAAACATTTTTTATATATATATATATATATATATATATATATAATAAAACCGAATCAACTCTAATTTTCTCAATTAATGGTAAATATTTATTATATGACTAAAGTGTATTGCAACTCTATACTTATTGGGTAGCTAGTTTTAAGGTTTAATGTCTTTTTTGTAACGAACATCGCGCCGGCAGACAGAGTAAAGGTTGCAATTAAAGATTTTTAAAGTTAGGTGTATTAAGTTAGAATATATTTGTAAGCCTATGTGTATTGGGTAGCTAGTCTTTTAAGGTTTAATGTCTTTGTTTTAACGAACATCGCGCCGGCAGACAGCACAGAGAAACTTACGAATATATGTTTTAGTGTTTAATTTTTGTCTTGGTGATTATTGTGCCGCATCCTTTCAAGGTGCTTTATTTTAGCACCGGGACACATTGGGCCACCACAATTCCGCCTTGACAAATCTTTTACATAGATATAAATATTTCTGAATCTTGTTTTGGCCAGGCCAGAGGAAAATTTAAGAAATATTGGTGTCGATCTCTCAATAAAATATAANAAGAATTATTGGTATCGATCTCTCAAACAATATATTCATTCTACAAAGTCAACTAAGGATACGTTATTTGATTATAATTATAAAAATAATATAGAGAGTATAGAATCTCCTGCATATAATAATGCAGTCATAGATTTTATGTAACGGTTTCGCATTATTTATAATTAAACGCTTTATTCTCAAACGGTCATATTTACTGTCGAGCTCAAAGTGTACAACGTGTGAAATACAGTGTGAACTCATAATCAACATTAGATTGTCTAAAATAAGCATTACATTGCGTGGGATACAAGGTAAGTACAAATTTAAATTTCCGCTTTCAAATTATAAATACTCTATTGCGTAATAAACCATTAAGATAGGTAATAAAGTTTTGTAGGATAATTGACTTCATTTATTCAATATTGTTCAGCCCCGAGATCGGTTCATTATTTTTGTCACAACGTTTGTGTACATTTTTATTTATTTGATCATTACCCTCATGTATTTAAGCTACGTTTATTCACCCCTCTAAATTCTTCTTTATTCATATCATTATATTCTTTGCACCCTTACATATCTTGCCACATTTAAACATGTGTTACTCCGCCATTTATTATCTTATTTAAAAATTTTTATTATTATTCGGTCATACATACGCTATATTATATCTTTAGTCTGACTAAGAATCAACCCTTAGATTTTCTTTTGGTACAATATAAGCATTCACACCTCCAATATTAAAATCCACATCACCACCATTTTTATCCTCCATTATTTATTTCACTCAAACTTATATCATACCATTCGTTCTCCATACCTACCGCCTTTTTCTTCACGCTCCTTCACAACCATCTTATTCTCATTCTACAAATTTACTTTTCACCATTAAATTTTAATTTCCGCTTTTAATTTTTATTCTTTTTCTTTTTGGTTTATTACAAATCAAAGCAGTTGAAAAATTATTCTAACATAAAAAGAATAAAGAAAAAATTCAAAGATTTCCTTGCCCTTCGCGGGTTGGAACCTTATACCCAAGCGCGTTAAACACAAGAACCCCCCTGTATAATGGGAAATGGTCCGATTTAAAAAAAAAAAAGAATGTCGAATGAAAGAAGTATATATAAAGTATTTATCATTCAATAACAGAAATGATTCATGCATTTTTTAAAAAGTTATAGTAACATAATGTTAAAAAATGTAAAATATAATATCAAACATTTTTTCACAAAAATAGCATATTTTTTCATACGTTAGTCATTTTCACCATTAAACAAGTCAAGAGGTCAAATTTATTTTTTTCAAAATAATGTATATTACTTAAGCTTTAATATAAGGTATATATAACAGTTTCAGTCTTTTCAGAACATTTTCAAAAATTAAGTTGAAAAAGTTAATTTTTTGTGAAAAAGTTACCATTTTGAAACCATTCCTGTGGGCTGGTAAAGAGTCATATGTCCACAAAAACATATAAAATGATAGATAAAAACTTTAGATATCTATAAAAAAAAATTATATAGATTTGGTCGTTTTTAAAAAATTTATGGCAATTCTAAGTAAAAAAAATTGAAAAAAATTCGAAAATTATCGATTTTTAAATTTGTAATTTTTTGTGGGATTTCCCTTTTACGGGAAACGAAGGAATTTTCTTTGAACTTTCGAGAGTAATGTCTTCGACTAGATACAATTTGGGATCTTTTGATGTATTGTTCATCAAAATCGGTCCAGCAAAAGCTGAGATTGAGCGTTCATAGACACAAAAATAAATAAATAAATAATAAAAAAAAACCCAGCACAGTGGGGTCGCGGCATAGTGGGGATGTTGCATAGTTAGGACCAGTATAGATTTAATCTGACAGTGATTAAAATCACTATCATAAGAACGCTTCGATGCAAATTTGTAGATAGTGTTTAATTTAAAAAAATTGATGGACAAAAGCAACATCAACTTCTATTTCCTTAATTATACCCATATTAGTATTTCTTTTAATTATATATTATATAATTTTTAAAATTAATTGTTTTCAAACTATTATTTTAGCTTATAATTTTACTTTTTAGCTTCGATGCGAAGCTGTTGAGGTATTGATTTTACTACAATGTGTTTATTACGAATTTTTTCTCAGCTCTTACCGAAACAATTTCTTTCGACGATACGTCAAGAGATCAGAAATCGTATCGCTAGTCGAAGACATTGCCCTCGAAAATTGAAAAAAATTATCTAGTCCTCCGCAAATGGGGGGAATCCCGGAAAAAATTACAATTTTGAAAATCGAATAATTTTTATAAATTTTTATTACCTTAAATTGCCATAACTTTTTGGCAATTTTTTTAAATATTGTAATTATTTTATTTATTTTTTTTATCTTAAATTATAGCTATGTAATATACTATAATTAAAAAAAAGAAAAATGTTGTTTCCACGACTTATCTTTGCTATAAAAATGGACAACGTAGTTAAAGAAAAAAGTAGGACTTTTGTGAAACGTTCTTGATTTCATATTTTTAACTTCATATTGCTATGCCGGTTCACACTTGAGTAACAAAACGATTAATAGAAGCGTCGAACCTATCTCTGTATATATCTGGAAATTTCTTAAAAGGATCAATCCCGACATAGCCTTCCGTCTGAATTGGCAAAAATATATGACACTCTCCATTTCTGCATCTGGGTAATTCTTTATCTGAAATTGTATTGTACGTTCTTCTGATCATACTGATAAGCCTGCATTTCTTAATATCATTATTATCACATATTTTCACCGAACCTTAAATAAAATACATGTATTATGTTTTGTAGCTTGGACGTAAATGTGAGAAGGTATTAATTTTACTACGATGTGTGAATTTTTTATTATCATTATCATTAATATTTTTTTTTTTTAATAAAATAGAATAGTTACAGTTACAGAATGAAGTTAATTTTTTGGATATGTCGATTTCGACTGGTTACTAACAGATAATTCAGACAAAACGAGTGAATCTAATTAAATCAGTTAACGATTTTGATATGGAATTTTCGTTAGTAATGTTATTTTGCGAGAGATGGTTCACCGCGCCCAAAAGAGAAATTATATTGTAAGTACATTTTTGAACACTGTGTGGACTTTACAAGAGAGTAAACTAATTAAAAAAAAACACAGCACAGTGGGGTCATGGCATAGTTGGGTCCAGTATAGATGATATCTGACAGTGATTAAAATCACTATCATAAAAAACGCTTCGATGCAAATCTGTAGATAGTGTTTAATTTAAAAAAAAAAAATTGTTAAAATAACATATTTATGAATACGGTAGTCATTTGCGCATAAAAGATAGGTCGTCGGGACAAATGTTTTTGTTTTTATTTTATAGTACATAAAATATGCTTTAATTTGATATATGTTTGAAGGACGCAGTATTTCCAGAACATTTTCAAAAATTAAGTTAAAAAAGTTAATTTTTGTAAAAAAGTTGCTATTTTAAATCCCCCCCAATGAGCAGGGTTAAGTGATAGATTTTCAAAAAAATGATATCAAATTAAAGGTAAATATCTAAGGTTTTAGTATAAAAAAAATTATGTGTATTTGTTCATTTTTCAAAAAGTTATGGAAATTTTAAGAAAAAAAAAGTAAAAAAAATGACAATATTTACCGATTTTTAATTTGTAATTTTTTTGGATATTTCCCCCATTTTCGGGGAACGAGGGAATTTTTTTTCAATTTTTAAGGGTAATGTCTCCAACTAGATACAATTTGTGATCTTTTGACGTATTTTTGAAAAAAATCGGTCCAGTGAGAGTTGAGAAAAAGTGGCAACAGACATAAAAAAAAAAAAAACACATTATAGTAAAATTAATACCTTCTCAGCTTTGCATCGAAGCTAAAAGATAAAATTAAAAAAAATTCAATTTTTTATAGATATAATGGTGATAAATATTGCAAACAAAATATTCGAAAATTTAGATAGAAAATAATAAATTTCGTTAGAACCTAAGGATTTACAGTAAACATAGTGTTCCCGATCTTCAGGAAAATTGGATGGCCATGTTTAAATATAGGCTAGATAAAATACAAAAGACGTCAACTTTGAACAAATAATAAAAGAATGGCCTAGCTCTGTTATTCCAATGGGTCACTACAAACTTGCAAGGTGTTGGGTAGAGTGTGGCGCTCGTGTATGACCGGTTCGAACGTGTTCATGCTTACGTCCAGCCGTCGTTACTTCCTCAGCGAGTGACACAACCTTTTTTGTACGTAAACAGTACACTTGTCTCGCGCTTATAGCAATCGACAGCCGTACAATTAGTAATTGCTCACTTTGTAGTCTTTACTGATTTTGTTCAGTATTAGTTTCCGGTTAATAACTTTGCCACTGTCCAATTTTTTTTAAGCCGACATCATATAAGTCATTAAATTATTATCATTTTGTAATTGTATTACAGTCAACTCGCGATAAAACGAAGCTCGTTATAACGAAAATCTTGATATAACAAATAAAACTGTCGGTCCCTTGAAAATCTCGTGATATAACGAAAAATTACATGTATTTTAGTCCCCTCGATATAACGAAGTTTTTTTGACCAACGCTCTCGCTATGTAACGAATTATCATATAATAATGTCGTCGAAATAGCTTGCTATTACAGTGTTTGTTTCGGCGTTTATCACGCGATAAGATAAATGACTCTACAACGTTATTGTAACCTTTACGTTATCGTTTTAATTTAGTTTGATTGTTGCGTCAAAAGCGATCACATGAAATTCCGCTCGTCGCGTTTATAAGCATGAGTTTATAAACGTAAGTGTTTGTTAATTTCTGACAAGAAAAGAATAATTGAATCAGTCGAAAGTAGCAAGAAGAAAAAAGATGTAGCGGATAGTTTTCAAATCCCTTCTTCATCACTTTCTACAATTTTGAAACAGAAAGAAGCGATTTTTAATAAAACTGACGCAGAAGTTAGCCGAAGAAAGAACCGACCAAGCAAGTTTCCCCGTTTAGAACAGTGTTTGTTCACTTTGTTCAATCAAGTTAGGCAGCAAAACATTCCAGTGAGTGGTATATTAATCAAGGAAAAAGCCAAAAGTTTTGCTGAAATATTAGATATCTCAGATTTTACTGCTAGTGATGGCTGGTTATCTAATTTTAAAAAGCGTCATAACTTGGTGTTCAGAAAAATTTGTGGAGAAAGTGCAAGCGTCGATAATGGTATCTGTGAAAATTGGAAGGTGAAACTTCAATACTTGTTATGTTAATACGATCCGAAAAATGTGTTCAATGCTGACGAGACAGGACTATTTTTTAAATGTTTACCAGACCGAACACTAACGTATAAAAATGAAAAGTGCCATGGAGGGAAACTGAGTAAGGAGCGAGTTACATTACTTTTTGCGGTAAATATGGATGATTCGGAGAAGTTGAAGCCCTTATTTATAGGTAAATCCGCTAAACCTAGATGCTTTAAAAACGTTAAATCTTTGCCGGTGATGTATAGAAACAACAGAAAATTGTGGATGACTACCTATCTTTGGAACGATTGGCTTGAAACCCTCAACAATGACATGCAAAAACAACGCAGAAAAATTATCATATTCGTTGATAATTGCACTGCCCATAGCAATCTCTCTACTCTCTCAAACGTGCGAATTGAATTCTTTCCGGCAAACACGACTTCAAAACTCCAACCTCTTGATCAAAGGATAATTAAAAACTTTAAAGTTTTATATAGAGAGGAAATTGTTTCTAAATTTTTGGACTGCTTGGAAAATAACGATTTTCCGAAAATAACTATTTTGACTGCTATAATGATTAACTATAAAGCTTGGAACAAGCAATGATGAAGAAGAATTGTCCGAAGAGCCCCCTGTCACCTCGAAGGAAGCCAAAGCAGGTCTCCGTGCCGTTTTAAAATATTTACAAAATCACAACATAGACGATAGTATATTTATTCACATTTTAAAATTAGATAATACAATTGATCAAATAAGCGCAAGTGGCTATATACAAAAAANTTAGATAATAAAATTGATCAAATAAGCGCAAGTGGCTATATACAAAAAAAAATAACCGATTTTTAAAAAAAAATATATATGTATGTATATATGTATCATAATTTATTTAAAATAAATTTTTGAAAATCTTGTTATTATGAACTTTTGATATACCGAACTTTTTCCTCGGTCCCTTGAAATTCGTTATATCGCGAGTTGACTGTATTCTTTTCGTATGTAAGTTTTCCTCCCTTTCCCTTTACTTTTAAGAATTTCATTTGCAAAACAGTAAATATATTTCTTATTTTATATATACATAAACAGGTGTACCTATTTACTTATCCCCTTTTTATTTTCCTTTATTTTTCGTTTTGTTTGCTACAAAATAAACAACGCTACCGCACAGTGACAGGCCATTCCCATTTAATATTAAGGGGCTGCTTGTCACACTAGCTATTGTACTTTTTACAAAAAATTGTTCATGTTATATTATCTTTGAATAAATGTTTTTAAGACATAAATAACATTTTTTTTTTAAATTGGCATAGGTTTTAATGTGTTGTACCCTAACCATTGTAACAATTGTAACTTTCAAAAAGAAAACGAGGGAAAATTAGACCCAGCTTCAAAAATAAAGCCTAACTATTATGTATAAGATTGATGCAATATGTATAAGATAAAGGAGACTCAAAAATTTGTTCAACATTATATTAAAACCAAAAAATTAACGATCAGAAATTAATAAAAAGTTCACAATTAAACAAAAAAGAACACAATTAAAAATGTGTCCATCTGCCAATTCATAGGGTATAACTATTTAAGAATTCGTATAATACAAATAATTTATTTTTATTTTAGATGCAAAATAAGCAAACTATTTTCTTTTTATTGTCCTTAATATTAATTCCAACAGGAAAAATATTAATATGAAAAATGATCAAGAAAATAAAAGTATAGTGAAGTACACAATAATGTACTTTCAACACTCATCTAGTATTTCTACAAAAAATAACTAAGTTTGAACCTTCCAATACAACTTTTTATATACGACCCTATAGGCAACATTCGACTAAATCAATAGAAAAAATTAACAATTATAACAAATTATTTTGTTCCGATATAAAACAAAATATAAACTTTTTTCTGCGGTAAGCAATTGATGTGTGCTTCAAAACTATTCGGTTTTATTTCGGATTTGTTCAATTTAGAATAGCCTTTGGAATCTGATAAAGTGTATTGTAATTTATCCAAAAGTATTTTTATACTATACAACAAGATTGCGACTGTACTTAGCTATTTTTTTTATCAATGTTTCGTGATAATTAGAGCACAGAATTATTTGCATTTATAATTTTTGTTCACTTATTCCGAACACATCATCATCATCACCCGTACAAATTTTTATTAATCGACCGACACGTATTTTTTTGTCAATGTTATAGTTTTTGGGAGATAATCTCTCTTAAAACGAAAAATATTTCTACGCTACTATTATAATCTTACGACAAAGACGCATAAACTTGAGGGACCCTATAGAGTAACTTCCACTACCAAATTTATAAATGCATATGATTTAACACTCAAATAATAATAAATATGGTCGCCTCAGTCAAAAACACTATTTAGGTTTTTAATTATGCTTCTCCAATTTAATATGTACGAAAACCTTTAAGTGAATTTTGAAAGACGAAAATTAAATTAAATACTATCAATTGAAAAGAATATTTGTTGTTAGAATTTGACAGACATTAATTTCAAACAAAATTAAGCAATAACTCACTATTATTATAATGGTGTTGCAATTCTTTTTTCATAACAGGTTTCAAAAGTTCTCTTCTTTCATACGTTGCTCTATTATAATCTATGTCATCTATGTTATCGTAAAACGATTTATTAATTAAATAAAGATTGTATGTTATACTCGGAGCTGATTAAAACTAATAAATGAATATTAACAAAATTAATCACCAGGTATGCTCTCTTCATTGGGTATATGAATTCCTGAAAAAAAAATGTATTTTAGACTTATTATAAAACACTATTATATTGATAGTCGAGTTTCTTTTCCGTCAAAATGTGATTGCACAGCATTAAAAAATATTGGTTTTTCAAAAAAGCATGTCGGTAGCGAGACAGATGTTTTACGAATTATCAATAAAAATTCCCAAATAATTTGTCCGGTTTTTGATATTTATTTGAAAATACAGTGATATGATATAATAATATCACTATATACAGAGTGACCCACCACTCACTGACAACTTAAATAACTTTTGATCCAGTTAATATTTTTAGCTGATTTTTTTTTAAATAATAGTTATACGTTAGGTCTATAGCTATATCTCAATAATTAAATATTTTACATTTTATTAAAAATATTAATTATTTTTAAATTTTACATAAAATGTAAAAAAAAAATCTAAGATAGCTATTTTGTAGAATAGAATTTAAGAAAAATTTTAATTAAAAAATATCTTATTAATATTTAGTAGTAAATATTCTGTAGCATTTTAAAGTTTGTGAAAATTTGAATTTTCATGAATTATTTTACGGTATTAAACATTGAAATACGTAATGAGAAAAGGAAAGATGAAAACACTATTTTTTCGTGATTTCTATAATTTACAACCTTGGCATTAATACCATGATAAGAAATTTGATAAGGCAATTATTACTTATCACTCTCATTCAAAGTATGTCATTTTCATGGAAAAAGTTACACACCTCCAAATTGTAGTAATCATGAAAAAATAGTGTTTTCCTCTGTCCTTTTCTCATTTAGTGTGTAGGTAACTTAATCTTAATTATGTGTTGTGCAATAGCAAGCGGTCTTCCGTTGCCGAAAAAAATTAGAAAAATGGTACCAGGAATTTATAAGATAAATCTAACTTTTAGGTCGGATTTTTCAATATTGGTATATGAAGTTAGATGACAATTTTGATAGGTACCAGGAATTCAAAAGTTGATATTTTTGTTAATTATGGCAAATGGCTTACGATTTTTGATATAGAGCCGATAACTATATCGGCGCTGTTTTTAAATAAGTCATATCTTACCAAACACGATATTAATCGTTGTTTGATTAGTTAGTAGTGTGACATAGACCGTAAATACATAATTATGTTGTGTCATAATTACTTTTTGATTACTATTTATATGTAAAATAACAATAAAAACAATTTTTGTATTAACTTTTTAGTTCGACAAAAATAAAATATCACTTCTTATCAGTTCATAAAAAAAAAGAATCTGAGAAGGTATTAATTTTACTATGATGTTTTTTTTTTTTTTTATGTCTGTTGCCATTTTTTCTTAGCTGACCAGTATAGATGATATCTGACAGTGATTAAAATCACTATCATAAAAAACGCTTCGATGCAAATCTGTAGATAGTGTTTAATTAAAAAAAAAAAAGTTATAGCGTTTTTAAGTTGAAAATTTAAAATCCAAAATCGAAAATTTTAACAAAAAATAGTGTTTTTTTAACTACGGCAGCCGTTTAAATGTAGAAGATAAAGTGTCGGGGCAAATTTTTTTTTTCATTTTATAGTACATAAAAAAAACTTTAATTTGATATATGTTTAAAGGACGCAGTATTTCCTTAATATTGATTTGTTGATTTTTGATAAAGCTATGAAAGTTTTAAGAAAAAAAAGTGAAAAAAATGACAAAATTTACTGATTTTTGAATTTGTAATTTTTTTGGAGGTTTCCCCCATATACGGGGAACAAAGGAAATTTTTTCAATTTTTAAGGGTAATGTCTCCAACTAGATACGATTTATGATCTTTTGACGTATTTTTGAAAGAAATCGGTCCAGTGAGAGCTGAGAAAAAATGGCAACAGACATAAAAAAAAAAAAGAAACTCATCATAGTAAAATTAATACCTTCTTAGCTTCGCATCGAAGCTAAAATAAATATAGTCTATTTTTTAACAACTAAATATGTAAAAAAACAACTTTTTCACATATTTTCTTAAAAATCTTCTGCATTTAATCTTCTTTATTTTAAAATAGTATTTTTTTGGAGATATTTTCCATTTACTGTAAATGTTTTCAATTTTTAATGACAATATCTTCAACTAGATACGATTTATGATCTTTTGACATATCAATGAAAAAAGATCTGATGAGAGATAAAAAAAAGTGGCAACAGACAAAAAAAAACACATCAGTAAAACTAATGCCTTCTTAGATTTGCATCGAACCTAAAAGAATACTAAATAAAACATAATTGTTATAGTGTACGATAATGTAACAAAAACAATCGGAAATGAAATTTCACTTCATAAGATTTTATAGGCACTTATAACATTATATAACATTATATTATTTTTTAATTAAATTATTCAATTACTATAAAAATTAAAAAAAGTTAGGGCTTAATTGCATTTTACTATCACAAATTTTAAATATGTTATTAATCAAATTGTTTAACGTCAAAATATTACAAATCGTATCTAGTCGAAGACATTACCCTCAAAAATTAAAAAAAATCCCTCGTTCCCCGTAAATGGAGGAAACCTCAAATAAAATTACAAATTTAAGAATCGCTAATATTCGAAATTTTTTCAATTTTTAGCTTCGATGCGAAGCGGAGAAGGTATTAATTTTACCATGATGTGTTTATTTTTTTTTTTTGTGTCTGTCACTACTTTTTCTCAGCTCTCACTGGACCGATTTCTTTTAACAATACGTCAAAAGATCACAAATTGTATCTAGTTGAAGACATTACCATTAAAAATTTAAAAATTTTCCCTCGTTCCCCGCAAATGGGGGAAATATCCAAAAAAATTACAAATTTAAAAATCGACAAATTTTGTCATTTTTTTCACTTTTTTTTCTTAAAACTTCCATAACTTTTTCAAAAATCAACAAATCAACATAATTTTTTTTTATACTAAAACCTTAGATATTTAGCTTTCATTTGATATCATTTTTTTGAAAATTTATCACTTAACCTGCTAATTGGGGGGGGAGTTGAAATAGCAACTTTTTTACAAAAATTAATTTTTTCAACTTAATTTTTGAAAATGTTCCGGAAATACTGCGTCCTTCAGACATATATGAAATTAAAGCTTTTTTTATGTACTATAAAATGAAAAAAAAAATTTGTCCCGACGACCTATCATCTATGCGCAAATGGCTACCATATTCTATTTATATATATAATATGCTATTTTAACAAATTTTTTTTTTAAATTAAACACTATCTACAGATTTGCATCGAAGCGTTTTTTATGATAGTGATTTTAATCACTGTCAGATTTCATCTATACTGGACCCAACTATGCCACGACTCCACTGTGCCGCCACCCCACTGTGCTGGATTTTTTTTTCTTAAAATTGCTATAACTTTTTTAAAAATAACTTAATCAATATAATTTTTTTTTTATATCTGACCTTTTACCTGCCCACAGAGGGGGATATAAAATGACAACATTTTCACAAAAAATTAATTTTTTCATCTTGACTTGTGGAAAGTGTTTTGGGAAGTCTGACACTTTTATATATATCTTAAATTAAAGCTAATGTAATATACTTTATTATGAAAAAAAAAAATTTCGGACTTTATTTTATCTTCATGGTGAAAATGGCTACCAAATAATATTTTTGTGTGATCATTTTCGATTTTATTTTTTAGATTTTTAACTTTATAATGATATAACTTATTGAAAAGTGTGTGGATCAACATAATTTTTTAATGAGAAATAATATTTTTTAATAATCCCTTTTTCATTCGACATACTTTATCTTAATCAGGATATTATTAAGGAACTAGCAGCTTATGTAGCTTTTGGAATAATCCACCAATTTTTTAAATTTAAACAGTATCTAAAGATTTGCATCGAAGCGTTTTTTTTTTATAGTGATTTTATCACTGTCAGATATCATTATACTTGATCCAACTATGCCACGTCACCACTATGCCGCGACCCCCCTGAGCTGGGTTTTTTTTTTTTTTTATGATAACGTTTTATCAAATAAATTTTGCATAATGGTTAAAAAAAATGATCATTGAATTTTTAGAAATATTTGACAAAACTTTTAAAATATAAAAATACTACAATATAACGCACAAATATTTGGGAAAGAATATTCCATATGCTATAACTAAGATAATTTTCTGATGGAATAGTTTGATTAAATGTTTATATTCAAAATAAATTTAAGGTGTTAGAAAGTTTAATTTGCGATTAAAAAATATTTTGAAAATTTAATATAAGAAAATTACAAATATGTATAATATATTGCATTTTATAAGTCAGAGAAATATGTATGTTTTTATATGAAAAAATTATAATCGTGAAATATATGAAACTAAAATATACAAATAATAATTTTTAAACATAATTGTTATTTTAAAAGAAATTTAGTGTAGAGTTAAGAACATTATCTTGTATAAATTATTTTACAAAAGTTTCTTTAGGAAAAAAGTGATTTCATTTTTAATTAGTATAATTAGTAAAAAAAAAATCAATTTCATTAGATTTCTTATTAATATGTTTTTGTATGAACCATTACGATGATTAAGTGGAATTTTTTGACAATATTTTTATAAATATTATAATCATCTGTAGTAATACAAAAAAAATAAATAAGCAAAAACGGTGTATGGGGNTCTTTTGAAATATAGAGAGCTACGAAGAACACATTTGAGTTCTGATCTCCCATATAGTTGGTAAATTTCTAGTAATTGGTTAATTTCATTTTTCATTATTATTACGGATCATACTAACAAATGTTGACTTTTGTTAAAACCAGGGACATGTTTGATGGATTACTCTCTCGAGGTAAAAGAAGTAGATAAGTATAGTTTTAGTAATTAATTCGAAAATAGTCGTTTTGATTTATTTAAAAATAGTATTGGTGATCAATTCTTGGCTACCATTGCTGGTACAATATTTGCGTAATACTAGCTTAACAAAACCGCCAGTACTAATCGGTTGGTACAGAAATGGGTTACCATCAGACATATGGCAGTATTGTTCCAGTACTAGTAACCGCTACTGCGCCAAAACTACCAGCAATAGCGTATAATACTGCACCTGTTGTTAATTTCTGATTGGGATTATCAAGACATTACATAAGCCACCGCATGAAGCAATCTAATAATACATCACGTTAGTAGTAGCTGTTTTCTTCGTTTATTGGAAGTCCAGATTAAGATTGACATTATTCTAAACAATATTCTAAAAAAGTAAGATCACTATGATCTTACTTTTTACGATTTAATAACTATTATTAAATCGTATTGTAAATTTAAAAAATATAATTTTTACAAACTTTAATTTAGTTATAGTTTTATAGTCAGCAACTAAAGTTGAAGTTGGAACAAAAAAAAAACTTGATCTTGAATACAGATTATGTTTAAACAAACAAATATTGCTCATTAGAAAAGAAAGTGTAAATATTTTATTTAATGCTCTAACATAATGAATAATTTTATATTGTAGTTCAATTCTTAANTGAAAACAGTCTTTTTGATTTATTTAAAAATAGTATTGGTGATCAATTCTTGGCTGCCATAGCTGGTACATTATTGGCGTATTAATGGCTTAACGAAGTCGCCAGTACTGATCGGTTGGTACAGAAATGGGTTACCATCTCAGACATATGGCAGTATTGTTCCAGTACTAGTAACCGCTACTGCGCCAAAACTACCAGCAATAGCGTATAATACTGCACC